AATAAGGAGAGTCTTATTCAGGTGCAGGTTAGACTAGATGGACCCTTAGGTCTCCTCCCACCTCTGAAATCCTGTGATTTCTGTTTCCTTATGAAATCCTCCCAACACCAGGATGAGGCAGGTAATACAAACATTACTGCCATTTTACAGATGAGGAAACTGAGGCCCACTGTGATTAACTCACTTGATCAAGGTCACCCAGCCAGTAAGTCACACTGGTACAACTTGGACACATATCAAAGGAAGTCTAGTATTCTTTCTATCACACTATAAGCTACCATTGTCACCTCAGCAAACAGATTTTGGTGGGGAGCATTGGCTATTGTTAATTCCACAAGAAATGGGTAAATTATTCCCTGACATTACAGAAATCAGATTTAGATTATTATTTAAGATACAACTGGAGTGTTTGGTGAGTTTTTTTAATGTTTGCACTAGAAAGCCATCTGTCTGAGAGGACATTGATTACCTCTTGCCTAGACTATTTCAGTAGCCTCTTCTAAATAGTTCTCCTTGACTCTTGGAAAAGAAACATCCTATTCATCTTCCACATGGCTGCAGGAATGCTCTTCCTTAAGTGTAAGTGTGACCATATCTCTCTTCTACTCAACAAACTACTGTGGATCTCTATTGTCTATAGCATAAAATATAAATTCCTCTGTTTGACATTTAAAATCCCTACCTCTGCAGCCTTAGAGATTCCACCCTGCCCTTGGCAGAGCTGCCAGACTGATCTTTTTGGCCCTCACACAAGATATCCATCTCCTGTCACATCTTCGTGTCTTTGCCCTGGCTGTACCCCATAGCTGCAATTCTGCTTCTACTCTGGGAGATCAGGGTAGAATCTCTGACCCTGAAAGGGATTTACTCTCCATCTAAAATCATTTGGTGATTAAACTGAATTACCGTGTTTTCAATTTCTTGGCTTTTTTCCTATAAAAAATCTCAGCCTGATGTAATGAACTGAGCTGGCCTAGCCTGTAGTCCTGGATATACCGTTAGCTGTGTTATGTTGGACAAGGAACTTACCCTCTCTACTTTTTACCTTATGTTCCTGTACTGTAAAAGAAGAACTTTTAACCAGATCTCTAATGTCCCTTCCAGGTCTAAAATTCTAGGCTGTAGGCTCTGAGTGCAGCTCAAAACATATTCTGAGTGATAATCACTGATAGCTTTTGGCTTCTATGAAGAATCCATTTTCTCACCATATCTTTGACCATAGGAGTGTCTCCATTTAGGCTTGTGCAGATTTTTCTTATTTCTTTCTTTTTTTTGGCCAGATACAATTGGTTTTTACCAGGTGTTTGTCCACTGCCCTAATGCCCCCATCTTCCTCTTTTCTCTTACCCATTTTTGGGAGTCACTTTCAGTTCTATTATGTTTTTATATTGCATACATTTACAAATTATTCCTACTTCATGAGAGGCCGCCTTTCTGATATCGTTCTGTATTCTCTTTCTACAAAACTTGTCTAATGGAAAAACAATAAATCAGAATTGAGGGTGGGGGAAGGGAAAGTAGCCCTTCAGTGTATTGTCGTTTCCTCTGTACCACCCTCCAAAAAGATAATAAAGGTGTAATACAGGAATTTTTAGGGAAAAACTGGATGCCATCTGATATATTAACTGGAAATGGTAACAATTGTAATTAGTCAGGAAAAAAGATAACAGAGGAATTAACATTGGAAATGAAGAGGTGAGAATATCATTATCTGTAGATGACATGATAATATATTTAGAAAATCTCCCTGTCTCGACCATAAAATTGAGGCAATAAATGAGTTCAGTAAGGTTGAAGGATACAAGATTAATTCACATAAATTATGTGCATTTTTCTTATGTACTGGCCATAAGAGCAAGAAAAAAGCAGGCAAAAGAGACTCTGTTTACAATGACGATGAAAAAACTAGCAAATATTGTGGGAATTAAACACCAATGACTAAAATAAAGACTTCAATAATTAGAGTGACACTCAGTGTTCACGAATAGATCTGATAGAGTAAAAATGACAATACTCCAAAAATTAATTTAATGCAATACCCATCAAAATGCAAATAGATTTTGTCATAGAATTCGAAACACATTTCCTGGGTACAACTCAGAGCACTGAACACTTGAACTAATTAATTATGCTTTTTTTAATAAAATTATTTTTTAAAAAGGCATCATGAAGAATAAAGTATAATATAATAGAAAGAGTCCTGGATAGGAATTCTGGAAACCTGGCTTCTAGTTCCAGTTTGCGTTTGACGCAAAAGCTGTGTGGCCTTGGACAAGTCATTTGACCCCTCTGCACCTCAGTCAATCAATGAGCAAGCATTTATGAAGCACCTACTATGTATCAGGCACTGCACTAAGCACTTTACAAATATTATCTCATTTGATCTTCCCAACAACCATGGAAGGTAGGTGCTATTATTATTCCCAGTTTACAGAAGAGGGAACTGAGGCAAGTGACTTGCCCAGAATCACAGAGTTATTAAGTGTCTGAGGTCGAATTCGAACTCAGGTATTCCTAATTCCAAGCCCGGAGCTCTATTCACTCTGCCACCAGCTGCTTCTAATGTAAGAAAATACTAAATAATTTTTGAGGGAGCACAAGCTTCTGGACTGGGAAGTCATTCTGAAGGAGTTGGTACTTGAACCCTGAGGGGAGTTTGGGATTCTAAGAGTCAAAGGTGAAGGAGTTAAGTATGAGACACCTCCTGTGCTGAGACACAAATTCTAGAGAAGCAAACAGATCAGTTTGACTAGAAAATAGAAGCTCTTTTGCCTTTTTATTATTTTTTGCTGTTGTTGTTGTGGGCACCAAACAGGGAAAAAGTAGATATAGAAAGATAGAAAATTAAAGTAATTTAAGGGGACTCTTCTAGAAAATGAGCTCTTTGGACAAATGCAAAATATTTCAAAATGCCAACACCAAAGTACAAGTACTTTCTTTCAATACACCTAACTGTTTCAGTTACAACTTAATGAAACTAGACTTTTATCTTTCACATGTTTAGGCCCATTTGCTTATGTCTTCACTATTTTGTCTTCCACTGCCAGCTTCAGGAACAACTATCACACGTGATTCTATGTTGTTTATCAAAAAGATGTTTTGGGTTTTGGGTTTTTTTTTTCTCTTGGCTAATTATTCGGTTAGTGCCTTCAAAAGAGAGCTCAAACTCCTACAGCACAGTTTTCTTCATTCCATTGCCTGGGCTTCCAGTTGCCCCGTCGTCCCTTTAGACTTGCTCTCTTACCCAGTGTCCAAGCAGAAAAGGAATGAAAATCAGATTTCAGAGCAACTCCACAAATCTGAAAAATCCCATGACAATCTTCTTTCAAGAATGATCTCTCCAGTGGCAATTCTTCTATGACACTCCATTTCCCTGTATACATACAGGCTATTCTGGATAAGGATTTACACTCTAATTAGTCTTTTTCCTCTTCTAAGGTTTTTACAACTGACTCCCTGCTGACAAAAATAGCTTCTTATTACATAAACAGCTCCAGGCTCCTTTCTCCAACTGAACTTTTAAAAATACAATTTGAACAGAACAGAAAACTATTAAGCAAAGTTATACAGCAGTTTCTTCACCCTGGGAAATGTCGTACCCCAATGGTGTCAAACTCAGATAGAAATGGAGCCAATAAGCCATCCATAAGGATCCCCATGGGCTGCATATTGACTTAGAAAAGTATTAGCATTATCTATGTTCTGTTGTGTTTGTTTATTTTGTTAAATATTTCCCCATTACGATATAATCTGATTTGCGCCCCACCTGGGAATATTGTGGGCCATGGGATTGACAAACCTGCTGTGGAGTTATGGTATAAAGAATATGAGTGGGAAGAAAATATAAATACTTACTGACTGCAAGTTGTATCTTCATTTAATTACAGAATTGTTTTTATTTTCTGCTGTGATTTTCTGTGTACATTCTTAGAAGGGCAATGTGTCATGGCACCAGACTAGATTTTAAGAGAACTAGATTCAAATTCCACTTCAGATACTTCCTGTGTTATTATAAAGAAATTACTTAACCTCCAAACCTCAGTTTCCTCATCTCTAAAATGGGGGTGTTATTACTTGCACCATCTCCTTCACTAGCATATTGGAATGAAAGCATTTTGAAAATCTTAAAGCACTATGTAAATGTGAGCTGTTGTTTTGAATCGCATATCTTTATTTGATACCACTCTTTATCGATGTGTTTTTTTCTCAAGCCATTATTTTAGTAATCCTTCTAGATAAATGTGGTTTCCTATTCGTTCCAATATAACCTTGTGATTTTGATCAATTTATTTTTTTAGTATGAGTTGTGACTTTTTACAAGAGATTATGGATCCTACCATCTGGCCATTCAGTGCCACAGTTCCTTATTGCTACCTCAAGTCCTTAAATCACTAGACTGGTGCATTTACTACCATATTTCAGCTAATTATTTAAAGAAACATTCAAGTATTTCAAGTGCATGCTCCCAGAGGGCAAATCCAGGAACACTTGATCAAAGTGGGAAAGAGGCAGAATTTTGCTTGTTGTTAAGAAAAACTCTCTATCAATTTGAGCTTTCCAGTAGTGGGATGGACGTGTGGTGGGGTCCTCTCCTTGGAAGGCTTCAAAGAGAAGTTGTATGACCTTTCTCAAGTAAGTTATAGTGCAAATTCCTTTTGGGTGTGGGTTGGACTAGAGGGCCATTAAAGGTCCCTTCCAATTCTAAAATTCTGTGAAACAACTTAATGCTGTTTTCAGTTCCGTGTCTCGATGCTATCCTAAGGGTAATTATGGTAATAATAATAACTCACATTTATATTGTATTCTAAGAATTATTAAGTGATTTTCTCAAAACAAGCCTGTGAGGGAACTATATACCTTATGAGATAGCTAATCTGTAATAGATTGTCATTAAATTGCCTTTCTAAACAGCATCCCCCTTGGTCAGGAAGCAAAGAAGTAATTGATGGATTGAAAAAGCCATAAATCCTTCCTTGGTCTGGTTTTCTCTTAATATGCAGGGCACGATAGCCAACTCCTTGACGTGTGTCCAGCTGCATAAACGAGCTGAGAAGATTGCTGTTATGTTAATGGAAAGAGGGCACTTGCAAGATGGAGATCACGTGGCCTTGGTTTACCCCCCAGGTGAGAGACTTGGGCAGAATATAGGGCTCCAGCCCTATATTTTTGGTTTACCCCCCAGGTGAGAGACTCGGGCAGAATATAGGGCTGAGCCATGCACTGCTCTGCCAAGAAACCTGTCATAACGTACACTGGTGCTCATCAGCAAACACACCTGTGTAATCGCAAAACCTCTCACAGTGAGTTCAATTCTAATCCATACTTAGGTGAAGCTCCCATTGATTTTCTACTCTGGAAACTAAAATTTGTTTATTCGGGTTTGTGCAGGGGTCTAGTTACTACATTTCCAGGCACCACAATTCCATGATGGGCTAGTTACAAAGTTTGAAAAAAAATACCACTTTGCAAAGATTTTCTTTTTGGTTAAATTTATTTTATTAGGCGCCTGCTGTTGCTTATTTAATCAATAGTAATTAAACCTTTTCACTGCCAATTAGTGATCACAAAATTGAAAAATCCCTTTGAGAAATGATGGAAAGATTAAAGTTTGGGGGGTTCCTTGGGCATTACACGCCCACAAGAATAGCATGAATGAATGTGATCAGTGAAGCTTAACAGATACTGACAAGCGACTTTGAAAGGAGTCTGTTAAAGAGCTTAGCTGTTCATTTAACCTTCTCCTAAGTTACTTCAGAATAGTATTTATGCCGACAGGGGTGACTGATTAAACAATCTGATTTTCAGCTGAGAGTTTCCGTGTTCTTCTTCATGCAGGAATAGACCTAATTGCAGCCTTTTATGGCTGCCTATATGCAGGCTGTGTGCCAATAACAGTTCGACCTCCCCATCCCCAGAACATTGCCACGACATTACCTACTGTCAAGATGATTGTGGAGGTAAGGCTATCTGGGAAGGCAGAGCCTGTGTGTGAGCTGAAGACCAAGGGAATGCATGTTATCTTTTGTAGTTAAACATAAGACTACTCCTGTCTACGTGCATTTGAAGGTTTCCGTGTCATGATAGTAAGTAGCAGGCGTGTTTTCTTTTTAATGCCTTAATGTTAAATGGTAATCACAGCCCCAGAATTCATTGCTTAGGGTCAACTTTCTGGTGATGAGCCACTTCATGTTTAGCGGGGCTAAAGTCTCACCCCAGCCCCATGTTCACAGCCTTTTTAGCTTGGTAGGAAGTGGTCTTCTCCCTAGAAGAGCTATTGAGAAACATGCATCACTTCTGTGCTATGATAAGACTTAAGTTTAGGTTGAGACAAGCCAATTCTCTCACTTCATCTCCTTTTTGTCCAGAGGCACATATAAGAAGGAGATTAGTTACTAGAGTTAGTGTACTTCAAGACCATGTATAAATTCAATTCAAGGGGTATTTATTAAGTGCCAAGAACGCTGCTAAAGGTAGTTTCCAAAATTGGGTTAATGGTGCCACTGCCAAATAGTAAAATCAGAAGGAGAAGCACATTTAGGGGCAAAGGTAATAAGGACACTATGAACATGTTGAGGATGAGGCGAAACATACAAAAGGGAGTTCTTGTTTGAGATACGGGTCTAAAGCTTAGGTGAGAAACCAGGGCTGGAGAGAGAGAGTGAGAGAAAGAGAGAGAGAGAGAGAGAGAGAGAGAGAGAGAGAGAGAGAGAGAGAGAGAGAGAGAGAGATGCAGGAATCATTTGCTGGGGTGCCATTTGAAGCAGTGAGTATGACAGACTATGAAAGGGAAGAGCCAGGAACAGAAGATCAGGAAGAGAATGTGCAGGCAACAAAGGAGACAAAAAAATTATCATTTGGAGAAGTGGGAGGAGAATTAGCAGAGGGGAGTAACTCTGAAGACGGGAGGCTCAATATTGTCAAGTGATGCAGAAAGGTCAGTTCAAATCATTAAGTATTTTTTAACACAAAGGCCTGTGCTAGATAGAAATACAAAGACAAAAATAAACAGTTCCAGTCTTCTAGGATCTTGAATAAGTCAAAAAGTACTTATTATGCAATTATTATGTGCAAAGTATACTATATGCTGGGAAACCCATAGGAAAAAATTAAGACAATCTCTGCTTTTACGGAGCTCACACACTAATATAAATTATAACATAAACCTTTATATATATATTTACATCTTACATTTATATATGTATAGGTATATATAGTCTGTGTATTATGAAGGTTTCATCTTCAATGACAAAGCCATTATTGATGTCATTTCCACTGATAAAATCTTATCAGTATCTGATGCTAGACCATTTGACAATACCAAGGACTGTGAGGCTAAGAACTGACTTTTTTGGGTCTTCAGCAGCTGTGCCTGCAGCTCCCATAGAAGCAGGACCAGTGGTTCCAGGGGCTGGATGTACCCCTTTTGGGTTTACCTAGCTATCAGTTGCAGTTGGTGGTGGTGGTAAGGAAGGTGGACCCCTTATACAATGATCTTCCCTCAAGGATGGCTGTCTGGTCCAGTCTTAGAAGCAGGACCGGTGATCTGGTCTTGGAGAGAATCCAAGGCTGTTGAATTCAGGGTCTTGGGAGATGGTGATGGTTTTACTTACCTGGAATATACAGTCTCCTTTTTCTCCTTCAGAGTCTGAGTTTACATTCTGATAGGGGGATAGATGTATAAACATAAGTAAAAACAAAGTAATTATGGGGGCACTAACAAGTAGGAGGAATCAAAGAAGGCCTCGTGTAGGCAGTTGTACCTGAGCTAAGCCATGAAGGGAACACTAGTGATTCCAGGAGGTGGGAATGAGAAGAGAGAATATTGTGGGCATAGAAGTCAGAATATCGTATACAAGAAGCCAGTTTGGCTAGAATGTAGTATGTGTGAGGAAGAGTAATGTGAAGGAAATCCGAAGGGACAGGTTGGAGCCAGATTGGGGGGACTTTAAATGCCAAACTAGAATGATGATGATTGAAAAAGACCATTGGAATTACTGATCATTGGTGATCTGAGCAGTTTCAGTAGAGTGGTGATGTGGAAGACAAGTTGCAAGGTTTGGAAAGAATAGAGAGGGGTGAGGGACTTTTGCCAAGAAGTTTGAAGGAAAAGGTGGCTACATGGAGGTAGAAGAATACAGAAAAGGCTTCTTTTCAGATTAATGAGAATTGTTTGCAGGCAGATAGAAAGGAGACACAGAATTCACAGAAGTTGAGATTGGACAAGGACCTTGAGGATTACTTAGCCCAAACCATTCATGAAAGGATTCTCAACTGTTTCATTCCTGCTAAGTGGTCATCCACCTTATTGGTCAAAGATGTCTTAGGAGGGGGAACCTGTTATTTTTCTAAGCAGCCCATTCCACTTTGGGCACACTCTAATTGTTAGAAACTTTTTCTTGGCATCGAACCAAAAGTTCTCTCTTTACAACTTCTGTTTGGGCTCCTAGGTGTACCTTCTGGAACCAGAGCAATCCCTCCTCCACAGAGTAGCCCTTCACCAACATCCTTCTTTAACAATGGTACCCAGCACTCAATCCAACACTCTGTGTGAGGTCTAACAGGGAAAGAGTACAATGGAACTTTTGCCTCTCTATTCCTGAAATCTATGCCCCTCCTAATGAAGCCCAAGATCTCATTAACTTTTTTAGGTTGCCATATCATACTGCTGTCGCCATGGAGCTTGCAGTCTACTAAAACCTCCAGATCTTTTCCAGTTCAGCTGCTGTCTACCCATGCCTCTCCCGTCTTTTATTTGTGAAGCTGATTTTTGGTAGGCAAGGGTGAGACTTTACATTTATCCTTACTGAATTTCATCTTATTAGACACAGCTCAATGCTTTGGCCTGTCAAGGGCCTTTTCAATTCTGATTTTGCCATGCATGCACTGTATTAGATATCCCTTCCAACTATGTGTCAGAAGAGAGATTAAGGTACATGTCAGAGTGGAGTATATGGTTGCTGGAACCAATATTCTGAAAGAGACATTATAGAACAGACATAGGGAGAGAGGCTAACCTTAAGCCACTTCTTTGACCAGAGGGAAGGAGTAGACTGTGGGTGATAATGCCAGGTTTATAGGGATAGATTTGACAGAGCTCATGTTTCAGTGAAACAGGAAACCAAGTTATCTTTTATAAAAGTATGTAGTGGAGATGCTTCTGGAGTGGTCAGTCATTCTAGGAAATGAGATCATAAGTTGGTTACAATACAAGGCTGGTCAAGCAGCACTGAGGGCCCAGCTGGGCCCTCTGTGTTTGAGCCACACTGGGCTCAAATGATGAAATGAGGAAACGCTTCTTAAAGAAGTTTTCTCTGAGACTTCAAGAGCATCTTGTTCACTTTGACAGCTGTGGATAAATATTTCTGTCCAGATACAAGGTAAGAGTTGAAGAAAGGGAGTATTTTTGGTGTCTTCTGGAAGAGAAGCCAACAGGGCTTAATCAGCAAATGCTTATAAAGCCCCTACTATGGGGACCCTGTGCAAGGTGTTGGGTATACAAGTACAAAGAATGAAACAATCACAACACTGTCAAAGAGCTTAAATTCTTGTGGGGGAGAGAGACCAAGTACATGTGAAAATATAGAGAGTATAGCATACAAGATAACTGAATACAAGGAAGTTTAGTTGGAAGCATGGGGGCGGGATTGGAAAGATTTTATGTAGAAGATGATACCTGAGGTATATCTAAAGAGAGGAGAGGGACTCAGTGAGGTGATGGTGAGGACACAGTACATTCAATATATGAGAGATGGCCGGAGAGAATAGCAATGTAGCTGGCTCCCGGAGTACAGGAGGAAGAATAACGCCCAGTGAAGTTGGAAAGATAGGTTGGGGCCAGGTTGTGTTGGGTTTTAAAAGAGGCAACCCGAGAGGCAATAAAAATACAATAGAATTGGTTTAGTAGGGGAATCACATGGTCAGATCTGCTCTTAAGGAAACGTAGGTAAGCAGCTTTATCTCTTGGGCAAGGAAAACTATCTCAAATTTGAACAGCTTTTGGATAACCAAAAGAATAGTTATTGCCTGACAGGTGGAGGTGACATTTAGAATAATATAGAGATAATAAAAAAATAGCCCCTTCCTTCCCTATGGGAGCAATTCATTCATATGTCCTTTTTAGAGTGTGAGTTGTCAGGTAGAATTATGTTCAATTCAACAAACAGTTATTAAGCCCCCACTATAAATCAGGCATTTTGCCAGGCCTGTGTATGCTAAGATGAGATGGAAACAGCCTCTGCCCTCAAATATGTTACTGAGAAGATATAATGTAAAAACACATACAAAGTTATACAAAATGATTTTAAGGGTGAAAAAGGGCATTAACCCCTGAGGCCATTAGGAAAGGCATCTTGGAGGAGCTGCTCCTAAGCTATGCTTTAAAGGAAATGATGGATTATAAATAAGAGGTAGAGATGATGTTCCAGGGCAGCTAAGATAGAGTGCCAGGCCTGGAGTCAGGAAGACTCATCTTCCTGAGTTCAAATCCAGCCTCAGATACTTACTAGCTCTGTGACCCTGGGCAAGTCACTTAACCTTGTATGCCTCAGTTTCCTCATCTGGAAAATGAGCTGGAGAAAGAAATGGCAAACCACTCCAGTATCTTTACCAAGAAAACCCCAAATGGGGTCAAGGAGAGTTAGACATGACTGAAAGACGACTAAACAACACCATGATATCCCAAGGAGAAAGAAGGTCCCATATTCTACATTAACTCTGATCTTGATAGAGTGAGCAGTTCCCATGATGAGTTTCCCATCCATGCTGTGCCCTAACATGTTTACATTGGGTCTCTACTGGGAAGAAATTGCTCCCATTAACCTATATCCATTAATAAGAGCTCTGGTTTGTTCATATTAAAAATAAGACCTATCACTGAGAATGGAAAAAGCATTGCATTGGAGGACAAAGAGCCTGGTTTCAAATCCCAGGTCTGTTACCTGCCCTTTGTGTGGCCTTACACAAGTTACTTATCTCTGTTTCTTCATCTCTAAATGGAAAGGGTCAGACTAGGTTATTTCAAAAGTGCCTCTTATCTGTAAAACCCATCATTACATGGAGTGCACACACATATGTAAAAACACACACTCCATTGCTATATGTTATTCCAATAATATTCACCATTCTCTATATCTTCCACATACTTATATTATACAAGTGTTTTCCATTAGGAGGTGAGATATTGGTTTTGTCTTTCTATTTTGGTACATATAGTAAACACTTGATAAATGCTGGTTGGTTGGTTGATAAATATAAAGACGTGTGACCTTTCCACCGCAACAATTCTAATATTTAGGTAATGCAGTGCCTTATACATAAGAAGTATTCATTAAATATTTGTTATTAGAGGCAGCTAGGTAATATAGTGATTAGAGCACTAGGCCTAGATTTAGGAAGACCTAAGTTCAAATCCATTATCAGTCACTACTAGCTGTGTGACCACAGGCAAGTCACTTAACTTCTATCTCAGTTTCCTCATCTGTAAAATGGGGATGATAATAATAGCATCTATTTCACAGGGTTACTGTTAGGATTACGCATTAACAGATGCAAAGCACTTAGCTGACCCTAAAGCACTGTATAAATGCTAGCTGTTATTAATTATTCCTGTTAATTGGATTTTTACTCAGATTTGACTTTATCTCCTTTGATATGCATGGTACTAATTGCCTTGTCATTTTCCTGCTTCTTAGGTGAGTCGCTCTGCCTGTTTAATGACAACGCAATTAATATGCAAATTGTTAAGATCCAGAGAGGCAGCAGCAGCAGTAGATGTCAGAACGTGGCCCCCCATACTGGATACAGGTAAGGATTCAAACTGGTCAAATCCATCAATCCTCATTTCCAGTGGACTGCTTAGATCACTGTTGAAGCCAAAATACTCTATCTCTGAACCTCTTTTCTTTGAATGTTTCAAAATTAAGGCAAGACATGCTAAAGGTTCTGTTTTGGTCTCCAGATGATTTGCCAAAGAAGCGGCCTGCCCAAATCTACAAACCTTCTAACCCAGATACACTGGCTTACCTTGACTTCAGTGTATCCACAACTGGAATGCTAGCTGGAGTAAAGGTGAGAGTTTTACGTTCAGTGCAACCTGCATGCCTCTTAAGGCTCATGAAGCTTCTGTGTTTGTTTGGGGGCATAATGTTTCACATAGGATCATATATTACTGAGGGTCTGTTGAGAGCTTACAAAGGGTAGTAAGTAAAAGAGAGGACAAATCTATGGTGCAGGCAGATAGAGCACTGGGCCTGAAATTAGGAAGACCTCAGTTCGAATTCAGCTTCGTATACTTATTAGCTGTGGGACTCTAAATAAGTCACGACCTCTCTCTACCTCAGTTTTCTTAATTGCAGTTATCAGGATAATAATGTTACCCAACATTGTTGTGAGGATCAAATGAGTATTACTTCCAAAGCACTTCGCAAACCTTCAATTGCTATATAAATCCTGACTGTCATCAGTGGTAATTCGGTGAATTGTGTTCATATCTCCCCTAGCATCCAGCCACGTATAGTAAGTGCTACATTAGAAAGCACTATGATGCAATAAAGAGACCTTTTCCAACCCTTATTTCTCTCCTACGTTCCAGGCTCACATTTCCAACTGTTAGTTTGATGTATTATCTGCTATAATATATGAAAAAACTTTGAACTCGAGATGTGCCCAGTGGAACTAACATATGATAACTAACTTGACTGGCAGAAAACCTCAAAATTATCTCAACGTGAGAGAACATAAGGGAAAAACCAAAAAACAAAAATCAACTTCAGTAAGAATGGATTAAGATAGATTAAGCTTGGTTAATGAGCAGTTCATCTGAGAAAGGACTGGCCTGGGAATCAGAATTTATTTTCCCCAAAACACTTGTCTCCTCTTTCCTGTTTCTCTTGATAGTTGCTGTTATTCATTCATTTCAGTCATGTTCAACTCTTTGTGACCCCATCTGAGGTTTTCTTGGCAAAGATACTGGACTGGTTTGCCATTTTCTTCTCCAGTTCATTTTACAGATGAAAAAACTGAGGCAAACAAGGTTAAGTGACTTGCCCAGAGTCACACAGCTAGTAAGGGTCTGAGACTGTACTTGAACTCAGATCTTCCTGACTCCAGGCCCAGCACTTTATCTACTCTGCCCCCTAGCTGCCCCTCTCTTAGTGGTACCACTATTTTACTAGTTCCTAAGGCTCACAACTCTGGAATCCTCATTGATTCTTTCTTCTCCATCACCAGGGTGACATATATTACTGGTTTTATTTCTGAAATAGTCCTTTCACCCTTCCTTTCCTTTCTGTTCCTACTACCTTCACACTAATTCAGTCCCTGATCACCTCCTAGTAGGACTATCATAAGTGTCTCATAATTGGTTTCCCTTTCTCTAGGCTCTTCTCATGGCATTCTATCATTCACACTATTGTTAGCTTGGCATTCAAGGACTGCCACAACTTGGTTTCCACCTACGTGTCCAACTTTATTTCACAATACTTTCACAGAGTACACTAAGTAATAGCCAAATTGGGCTATGATCTATTCTCCGATCCTGTCACATCTTTCCCATTTCTATCATAGAACATTTTTACTTGCAGTCTTCCATGTTTGGAACAGACTTACTTTACATGTTTGCCTGTTCAAATCTTTTGCTTCTTCCTCAAATTAAAGTGATCCCTCCCTTTCCAAATCTTTCATATCTCTACATTTGACCTTTCCTATGTGCTTATCACATGCTATACATTCTATTATTTAAGCTTTAATAGTTTAAAAGTACACTAGGACTTTTGGGACACCCTGTATTATGGACTATTTATGTGAATGTCTTATTTTATTAGATGACAAGCTCCTTGAGGACAGAGGTTGTGACATTTTTTAACTTTACATTCCCAGCACCTCCCATAGTGCCTTCAACAAGGTAGACATTTAAAAATGCTTAATGAGTTGAATAAAATTCTGCTTTCCATTTAACACCAGGCACCTGCTTGAAATTCAGTAAACAATTTCAGTCCTAATATTGCCCCTCTGTCTTTTATTTTTGCTTCCATCTGGCTTGGCTGGGTAGATGGCCTCTTCCAAGAAAATTAATTGTTTTGAGTGTAAATTACAGTGTTTGTCTGCTATGCATAGAGCGTATCATATACTGATTGAGGCTCTGGTGGCAAGAATGTAATTATGGATTTGGCTGAGGATGGGTGCCCAGGTGCAACATTAATGGTGATGTTGGAAGCAGGGATCATAAGATGCTTGATCCAGTGCTTAGAAGGGGATATCAAAGGCCATCTAGTCTAATCCCCTTTTTAAACTTCCATTTCATTTTCATTTTTTTTTTCTTGAGAGGAGTAAAGAAAAACATCACATTTGATATGACTTTGTAGATTATTCACATTTAGAGATTTTTAAAAATCAGGTTTATGGTTGCTCTTTCTACGTTGTACCACTAAAAACTTTAATAAGCTTCAGAAAAATACCACCATCAGCACGGTTCCATTGTTCTGGAAGGGTGGACAGGTCATAGATGAAAAGGAAATTAGTTGATTGCTTATCAAAAAATAGATCTATAATTCCCAAGAAATTGTGTTGTTTTTTTTTAAATAAGACTAGATTGTTATCTTTACTCTAATTCTTGCTGTATGAAGTTTGTCAAAACTTTGTTCAGATCTTTGGTTTTTGTAGGTTATACCAATACTAAATACATAGGACTTAAAACAATTGACTATGTGCTTTCAATCCCATTATCTCACAACAACGTTATAAAATAGCCTTCTTACAGAAGAAGAAACGGAGGCTGAGAGGGGTGAATTGATTTGCTAAAGGGGTCAAGTGGTAGCAAAACACATTTCTGTACATTTCTCTCCCATTCCACCTTGATAAACAGAAGTTTTGAGGGGTGAAAAGAAACAATCACTGTTCTACCCCCTTTCAATCTGGTACATATTTAAAAGAAAAAACAAATAATGGGGGAAAACCCCAAATCTAGGGGTCTTTCCACTTTGTCACACTGTCCCCTATGGGAGAATAAAGTTATAGTGAAGGCTTCCTCTCTTATGCCCAACTGATAACTCCCTTGAGTACCAGGACATATCTGTGTGTGGATGCTAGTTACACGATGCTGATGGCAAAGTACTGATTCACTAACCCATCAACCAGGGATGTATTTCCAGATGTTTTCATCTGATCTAATAATAGCTCACCCCCACTACTCCAGCACAGTCCCACACTGGCCCTTGGTGTCACTGTCCCAGGTGCTGAAAGGCCTCCTATTACTAGGCAATGATTTTAGTTGACTGCTCTTTTGTCTTACAGATGTCCCATGCGGCCACTAGTGCCTTTTGCCGTTCTATTAAGCTGCAGTGTGAACTTTACCCCTCTAGAGAAGTGGCTATCTGTCTGGACCCCTACTGTGGGCTTGGGTTTGTCCTCTGGTGCCTCTGCAGGTAAGACTCCTCTAATTTCTAAGGAAAAACACAAGTACCACTTCTCCTCTGGCACCCACCACAGAAATTCCAGTTAGAACAATTATGCAATTTGAAAGAGCAAGCAGCCTAGAGTAATTAGAATATTTTAGAGATTTTGCTGTAGTCCAGGGAGTATTAGTGCTGTGAATAATACATGATTTCATGGGAAGTAGCTTAAAACATACAGGTTTTTAGAGAGTAGCTAAAGTACTCAAAGCTGCATGTAGGCCTTCTTGATGAGAAAATTGGAACAGCAGTTCTGATTTTATAGGGCTTTGCTGTCTTCATTGGACTAAGCACCAACAAATCTCAAACCCACAGAACAGATGTGGAACAGCTTCTGTCCCCAGCAAACTTATAAGTCTGATGTTTTGCGAAATCAGCAGATGAGGCAATGCCAAACTGCCAGGACGAATTTTGTATATTTCTTGGTTTTAGTCACTATGGAAAACAAATACCCCTAAAATGGATTTTATATTGGAGGTATAGGGTAGCTTTTAATTTTGCCCACCCCCTTCTTTTTTTTTTTTGGAGTCCCACTCTTTTATTTTACAGATGGTGGAACTAAGCCTTGGAGGGAGAGATTAAGTGATTTGTCCATAAACTCAGATAAGTAGTAGTAAATAGCAGAACCAAGATTCAAACTGAGTGCTTTTGGTTCTAAAGCTCATGCTTTTGTGACTATATTATGGTGTCTCCTAGAACACAGCAACATATTTTGCTCAAAAACTGTGACCCTGGAGCCAGCAGAAAAGTACAATAATTATAGGTCCCTTTGTTCTCTAAAACTCTCTGTAGAAATGGAACTTCAATGAAGTTACAAAAGAGTGGAGATTGGGACTTTAGCAACCCCGCTTTTCAGTGCATAGGCCCTGGAACATCTAGCCTTGAAATTTCTAAAACAATAGATTATTCAGGAGCATACAAGGATTTTTCGTCAGTGTTATCTCACTGTGCTTAGGCAAGTTATGTATTATGCCAAAGACCCAACAGTGACTAATATACACAGCAAGGGAAGAAGAATTAGCAAATTTATGATACACTTTCTGTTTATACTCTGTTACAAGGATTGATTTTTAGTTTCCTAAAATAAACATTTCTACCTTGATCACTAGTCACATATTTACATATCTGTATGTATGTATATCTATATAGAAAGATAGATTTCTTAAGTGTTCTTGAATATCATTCATTAATTCATTCAATGAACATTTATTAAGCACCTGTTGTATGCAGAGCGCTGTATCAGAAGAGATAAGAGATAGTCCTGGCTCTAGAAAACTAGACTTTAGAGAGTCAATCTCCAACTTCTCCCTATCATTCTGCAAATGTCTTAGGTTTTGCTTTTCCTAGGAGGCAAATAGACAAGAGCTCTTATTTAAAGAGTGAATCAGCCATCTCATAGCTGAGGTCATTCTCAAAGGTGCTGGTGGAACATCTTGGGCCCTATCAACTTCATTCAGTTTTTCCTAATGTTAGTTGCTCACCTTGAACCATCGTGCCTTGTCTGAAAGCAGTCACTTAGTAAATGTTTGTGGAATTGAACTGAATCTAATAGCACTGAAAAAGAACCAAGGAAATGGAGCTAAAAGAGAAAATTCTAGGAGTCCTGTGTAAAAATATTGGGGAGAAGGCAAAATAGAGAAATATGATCAGCTTTAGCTTTCAGCTAAGAAATTCAACTGAGGAGTAATAAAGCATTTTTGATACCTAGCCCTGAAAACATAACAGTCTTTGATGTGAGAGGGTGACTATTTAAAATAGAACTGCTCCAAAGATCATGCAAGGCAATCCAATTAAGTCCATAGTTAAGCCTTTTTCACAAATGGATACGGAATAAAATTTTGTATTAGTAAAAATATTATGTTCCAATTCTTATAAGTAGCTCAGAAATGATAAGAGGTATAATGTCTCCCGGTGCATAATTATGATTTATGAGATACATAAAGTATATGCTTGTTAGGCTTTGTCCCTATTACCTTGGTATATGATCCCATTTTCAGCCCAGAAATTGTTCTCTTATTATCCTTTCAACAGAAGTAAATTTTCTATTATTCCAATTTGTTGCTGCTTAATAATGCTGCCTTGGGGCTTGAGTCTGAGTTAACACACCAGCTTACAGTCCTCTAAAAGGGTCTCATTCAAAGTCACAATGAGATATAGGTTTCTAGGCCAGTCCTGGAGCAATTCTAGCACTTTACTTGAGTTCTATACATGGTATACAAAGTAAGATTCAGAAAATTTGTGGCCTCCTTCAGAGAAACTCCATAGCAGCTTACACGCAACTTACTGAAATCTGAAGTCACCCCTTGTTGGTCTTTGTAATTTTGCAGAATGTCAGATTCCTAACATTGTAGAAAGGAGATATGCATTTGTCTGTGTCCAGCTTCATGAAGATTCATTATGTATTTGCCTTCTAACAGCATTATTAAAGATCCTTGCCCAAAACCAGGACAAGGGTCTGAATTCAGTAATTAGCACTCTAGATGTGATCCTGGTAGAATGCAGTTTATTATGCTTCTGTATCTCCCTTCTGTGAGAAAGGTAGTGACCATGTTGGAATGTGAGTCAGGTATAGGAACTGGCAGGCATCCACTAAAGGCCAACAACAGCTTTCACAAAGGGGAACAATAAATGGGTGTGGCGATCACTGTCAGTACCATTAGTGTGTGTACATTTAGGACAGGAATGGGGGAAGGGGGAGACAAGGGAAAGATTGGAAGTAGAAAAGACCTGGTATAGTGTGCATGACCCCAAGAGCAGAGGTAGCACCATGGTGGCATTAAGCCTCCTGTGTATGATATGATGCATGCTAAGGAGGATATTTTCTTTCTAAGGCTATAAGTGATTCAGACTCTAAACATCACTGGGAATTCTACCACCTGTGAAAAGATGGTTACTTCTGAAGTTTAAAAAAATTATCTTTACAAAGCCAGGGTCATAGGCAAGTTGGTGAATGTGTTAGTTCCCCAAATTAAGAGAAGGACTGATTATAAAGCCTGTCCCAGCCTTCCTTTGAGTACTCTGTATAGCAGAGTTTATTACTGAAAAACTCAGAGTCCAGAAATCTCAGAATTCAAAGAAATATCAGAGGATACCTGTTCTAAACAGGATCTGAACAGAAAGCCTTACTGTACAACAGTCCCAGCCTCTACTGGAAGGTCTCAGATGATGGGCAACTCACTACCTCTCACTTCAGCCTATTCTCTTTGATATAACTCTCTTAGAAAGATTGTCCTTATAAGGATCACAAATCTGTCTGTAACATCTCTCAGTTTTTCAAGTTCTGCCCCCTGAGTCCAAGCAAAACAACTCTCATTCCTTTTTTACAAATGGTCCTTCAACTTAAAAACTTAAGTTTTTACAAACTTAAAAGCTTTAAAACTGCTAATAGTCTCCATTGTTCTACACACAGAAACAACTCCAACAAATCATTTCCTCTCCAGGCTACCCTTCCCCCATTTCTTGCCCTTGATCCTCAGAACAGCAACCTTAAAAAGCCGAGCTCTCAGAACTCTCCATGTGATATGACTTAGGCTAGATGGCAGCAGGATTGTCACCTCGCTCTTTCTGAACATCATACTTCTCTCTCTCTCCCTTTTTTTTTTGGTTAGGCGATGGGGTTAAGTGACTTGCCCAGGGTCACACAGCTAGTAAGAGCTATGTGTCTGAGACCGGATTTGAACTCACTTCCTCCTGACTCCAAGGCCAGAGCTCCATCCACTGCACCACCTAGCTGCCCCAACATCATACGTCTCTTAATGTGGCCTGTTCACCTTAGTTTTGGGGGCTGTTGGGTTACATTTTCAACTCTTACTGTACTTCTAGTCCATTAAGTCTCCAAGGTCTTTTCAAACACAAACAGCTTCCTAGTCATGGCTTGCCTGTTCTATACTTATGCAATTAATGTTTTGCACCTAAGTACAGTGCTTCACATTTATTCCTATTTAATTTCGTCTTATTAAATTGGGTCTTCTGTCATAGCCTGATGAGATCCTTTTTTTTGGAACCTGATTCTTTTATACAGTATATTAATTAGCTATCCATCACTGCTTTGAGTCATTGCCGTATTTGATAACCTGTCATCTATTCTTTTATCCAGGTCATTGTGAAAAATTATTTTAAAATGAAACAAAGTTAGGAAGGACAGATCCCTAAGTCACACTACTAAACACATTAAGTGGTGCAGGAAACAGAGCATCAGACTTGGAGTCAGGAAGACCTGAATCCAAATCCGGTTTCATATACTAATTAGTTGTGTGATCTTGGGCAAGTAACTTAGCCTGTCTGCCTCAGTTTCCTCAACTGTAAAATGGTGATAATAATAGCATCTACCTCATATGGTTGTTGTGAGGATCAAGTGATACATGTAATAATAACATATGTAAAGTGCTTAGCACAATGCCTGGCATATGGTTGGGCTGGCTATATTAGTGCTTATTCTCCCCTCGCCCCCACAGTGTGTGAACCACTGGGTAGGTGATTCAAAGATAAAATAGAAAAAATCACTGTCCTTTAAGAGCTTACATGCTATTGGGAGCAGGGAATGAGAGAGAAGGAATGTAATATATACACTAATAAATGTTGAAGGGAAGAAGTAAAGAAACAAACATCCATTTATCAAGTATCTATTAGTGCCAGACACCATGCTAAGTGTTTTACAAATATCATCTCATTTGATACTCAGAACAATCCTGGGAGGTAGATGCTATTATTATCCCCATTTTACAGTTGAGGATCCTGAGGCAGACAAGTTAAATGATTTCTTTAGGGTCACACAACTAGTAACTGTCTTGAGGCCGTATTTGAACTCAGGTCTTTCTGACCTCAGGTCCACTATGCCACCTAGCTGCTGCCTCTAGCATGTGAAAAATCAAGCAGGGAGACAGTACTAACATGGGGTGGGATGAAAGAAGGTTTCACAGAGAAAATGGCACCTGAGCTGGGTCTTAAAAGAAGATAGGCATTGTGAGAGGTAC